GCATGCCATATCCTTTTTAACCATCTTATTGCCCTGTTTCAACATTCAAAAATGTCCTAGGTCCACCTATTCCCCCACAATATCCTAGATCCTCCCAGTTATTGTGTAGTGCCTTGCCTCACTCCACTTTCTGAAACACAAGAACTCTCTTCTTGCACAGAATTAAAATTTTCACTTTCTTCATCCAACTGACCAGACTATCCATCTTCCTGGAATCTAAAGCTTTCTTCCACATGGTCAATTTTTACACCAGCTGCAAACTCCTTTACCATGCAACCCACATTAGAGTCTAAATCACAAATATAGATTACAGAAGGCAAGGGGGTGAGTACGGAGCTCTGTGGAACCCACCGATAAGAACCTTTTCAGTCACAGAAACATAACCACAACCTTATCATTCTTACATTAAGCCAACTTTGGATCCAGTCTCCCTTGAATATCAAAGGATTTTACTTCTTTGACCGACCTTTACGATACCTGTGGGATTGTATAATTTTATTATTACAGTCCAAGCTTGGGTAATCAATAGCTAATGGGACACAGCCACTGAGCCTGATCCTGTTCTCACTGTACAGGCATGCATGTGCAGCAGTACTGGTGGAGGCTGCGGATCTTTAAGTAACAAGAATGAAGACGACTCATTCATCGTCCTCCACCCTTTAGATCCAGAAAAGCTGGAACAATTACAACAGCTGTTTCACCGCATTCATAGCCTGCAATCAAATCTGGAATCTGTCTTTAGCTAATTCCATCCGAGGGGCTGACCAAAACAAGTTTGTTTTCACAATGAAGAGAACAGACGGAACGAAAAAGGACATTAACATTGATTTTTAACAGGGTTTGCAAAGGATTCCAATAATGACTTTGGAACCACAGGGGCTTGTAGAGTCAATTATACAACTGACATGGGATATGTACAAAAGATGGATTCTGGCAAGACCTTTATACTGCCCTTATACTTAGTAATAACGACAGTGAGGTCATTGGTATGGACTATGCCAGATGTGGCAGCCAACCTGAAAGCAGTTTTGGTTCATCCTTCTATACAATTATGAAAACTTCTTACAGCAAGTTGCCCACATCAGGAAATCCAGGCACAAAATGCAGACTATTTTTTTGAGAGTGTCCAAAGAAGCCATGCTCATATTCCAACTAAGTGGAAATGTACCGCGTGTAAAAAGCATAACTTAGAGCCAGAAAACAATGCCAGTGTTTGCGGTGTTAATCGTTCACCTTTTCATTGCACCTGTGTTTACTGATCTGCAAATATCAATGCCTGACAGAATTAGTTGCAAAGTAATGCTGTTCTAATTGTAACCAGAGTAAGGTTCTTTAACTTTTTTTTTTAAAAACAAGGGAATCTTTTAGTGGGAAAGATTCACCCATATCGATCGTTTGACAACAAAATCAAGTTTGATTTAAAAAAAAACAGATTACATTGGAAAGTTAAATGTCAAACTCAGACTCATTCCCCAAGAATTGCCCATGTTGTTACAATTTGCACTGTGACAACGTTCAACGATTTCATGGGGTGGGAAGGAAGTTGACTAAATCTTTTTTTCAGATTCCTCTACACTGAATTATAAACTTTCGTCATGCAAATGCACAAATTAGTAGGCCATTCAGCCAATCAAGTTTGCTTGGAGGCTGATCAGATTGTGCCTCAACTCCATATTGCTGCCTACCCTAGAGTCCCTTTGAATCCCTGGTCAGGGAATTACTTACCGAACCAATCTGGTATCTTCGGATTTCTTGGATTATCTGCAGTGACAGATCCAGCACAAAGTGGATCTTGTCACTACTGCTCATAAAGATTGGCGAGTTTAAACAAACTAAAATATTCCAAGGCACTTCACAGGAAGAGTCAAACAAAATCTTACAATGATCTATTTAAGGAAGCATCAGAGCAGGTGACCAAGAAGAAAATAGAGGCAGAGAGCTTTAAGGTGGGAATTTCGCATCTTGAGGCTGTGGCAGAAGGCGGCATGCTGCCAAAAAAGTGGAGAGTTTAAAGCAGGGATGCTCAAGTACTAGAATGTAATGAGCATAGATATCATGGAGGGCCGTACAACTGGAGATTACTTAGGGTGAAAGAGGAGGCCCATGGAGGCATTTGAAAACACTGAGAATTAACTGGCGTTGATGTAGGTCAGCCAGCACAGGGCTGATGGGTAAATGGGACTTGGTATGAGTTAACAAAGCAGCCAGAGTTTCAGATGACCTTAATTTTTTAAGAGGCTAGAAAGTGGGAGGCCAGCTGAGTGAGAGTTGGAATAATTGAGTCTGGCTCCAAGGCACGGGGGAGAAATTCAGTAACACAAGAAATGAGAACGAAGGTGAAAGTAGGCAGTGTTAGTAATAGCTAGATGTGGTCGGAAGCTCAACTGTGCCCACAATACTCAAAATCTGGCTCCTGGAACATGCTTAGCTCATCAAGGCAGAGCACATGGTACCAGAATTAAAACTTACTTTTAAACTTTCCTAGGCAGAAATTACAACGTTAGCAACTTTAAACACGTCTGCTTTTATCCTCCCTCAGGTTTAAAGCTGTTTCAACCCAGTTATCTCTTTATAGAAATCCACATGCAACCCTCATCAAGTGGCAATGCTCTTGGTTGAGTCTACAGTGAATGCCAAATGATCACTACGTTCCAGAGAGGAAGTGCCTTCACAGCCGAGCTCTTCTGTAACATTCCCACATCCACATTTTCTAACATGATTCCATGGATAGTGATGCAATTGAACTTGCCAGATTCTGCCTCTCTATCCTTCTTTCACTGCTGCATCACTACTGGTAACCTTGGACAGCAGATGGTTTCTGGCCTTAATTGACTTGGTAACTTTTTTAAATTAATTCATGGGATGAGGGCATCGCTGTTTAGGCCAGCATTTATTGTCCATCCCTAATTGCCCAGAGGGTAAGTTAAGAGTCAACCACATTGCTACGAGTCTGGAGTTACATCAGACCAGATGAGGATGAATATTAATATCCTTTAGGGAAATAAACTAACTAGATGGGGTATTCTGCTCCCCCCCCACCCCCACATAATCAACAATGGTTCCATGGTCATCATTAGACTCTAAATTCCAGAGTTTTATTCAATTCAAATTCCACAATCTGCCATGGTGAGATTCGAATCCTGTTCCCCAGAACATTCCCTGGGTCTCGGGATTAACAATATAAATTATTAATTTACTCACTTCCAATGAGCTTAAGCAATCCAATATTGATAGAATAACCCTTTTTAATGGCCTTGCACCTAAAAAGGTACACAGATTTTTAAAAGACGATATTGCTGTGCCGTACAATGGACTAACAACATCTGTTGGTGAGCTCAATATTTTTGAACCGCATACAAGCCATGGGTGATTGTTGTATATCTGTATTCCATTTATAAAAAAGAAATAAGTAACAGAAAGGCCTCAAGACACACAGCAGGTTAGCGAGTGCACACAATAAGAAATCTAAGTTAATATTGCAAACTTTTCAGTTGCAACGTGATATTTCAGTTCTATTCCTGGGCAGGAATCACTTACAATGGGCTAATCTGGAACTAATTTGACCTACACTTTGAGGATTTGTTGTAGATGCTACAAATGGGAAGAGACGGTTTGATCATTGGGTTTGAATACAATGATGGTAGAGAGCAGATTGTGGTGTAGAGCTGTACATAGTGACAGTAACATGCCATTCAGCCCTTCAAGCTTGTTCCACCATACAATTACGTCTGGAACTCAAGACCAGTTTCCTGCCTTTAGTCAATTCTTCGTATGAATCAAGTTCAGTTGGAGAATGTGTAATTGTCCCTACATGCAGGGCCATTATGGGGAATGCATTCAATAATTAAACTATTTTGTGTGGATCAAAGAAAAAAAAAGTTTCCTGATTTCATCCCTAAATAGTTAAGTTCTAATTTTAAGAATGCATCCCCTTTGCTCTGGTAAAGTCATCACAGTCCTACCAGACCATAGGACTGCTCTCTCATGTGAGAAACACAGAGACAGAGAGGGAGGAAGTGAGAGAAGGGGGAAGGGGTGGGGAAGAAACTGGGTGGCAGTTTAACCTGAGGACCACCATCCCTCAGGTGAAAGGGTGGGGGTGTAGGGTGCACCATGAAGGGGGATCCTTCATAGTAACTTCAGTCCGTGAGGGAATTGAATCCACACTGTTTGTATCACTCTGCATCACAAACCAGCCAACTGAGCCAACTGTTCTGGATTCTCCCACTAGAGGAGGTGGCATCAGGGCACCTACTTTATAGGGTTATCATTCCATACACCTCAATTAGACTGCCTTTTAACCCTCTAATCTCAAGTGAATACATCCAAGTTTGTGCAAGAGGGAACTGGTAAACTCTACACACTGCTAGAGGCTAACTGACATCGAACGCTTGGAGTTTGATTTCCCGTTCAGGTCTCACACAGCGGCAGTGAATGTGCGTCGGACCTACCTACAGGGATTAACTATAGTCCCCAGTTAAAAATACTGCACAGAAGTTTAAACAAAAAGGCAATAAAACCACAAAGTGCTGGAGAGAGTCATCAGGTCTGGCAGCTTCTGTGGAGAGGGAAGCCAAACCAGTTCCCAAGAGCATGTACTCAGTGTTTCTCTCTCCCCAGATGCTACCAGACCTGCTGAGTTTCCCCAGAACCGTGTGGCTTCATTTTCAGTGAAGCCTTGTAGCGGGGCCACGACGGATGGGGCACCTCCCAGAGCTGTAGGTGGCTCCTGACCAAGAGAATGAACGCTGAAGGGCGCGCATATATATATATATATATATATAAATGCCTAGGGGGAAAACAAATACAATGATTTCATTAAGGCTGTTCCCCAAACTTCTCTGAACAAGCACTGCCCTTTTAAATATTGGGGCAAAGACAGATTTGGGACAAAAAACTCTGCCAAGACCTTTTTTTGTCCCCAATCCTGATAGTCTCCCCCATCCCCTCTCCCAACCTCCTCGCTTGGAGCAACAGCCGAGCCAAAGCTGGTCACTTACTTTCACCTTCCACTTTCTCGCCTCCCCGGCTCCAGATGATCTGGCGGGTCTCCAGCTTTACCTGCAGCGTCCTTCTCTCCGGCCGCTGGGACTTTTTGGAGTAGAAGATGGTCATGACAGTGCCCACTTCTAAACTCCGGCAGAGTTCGGCGATCTGGGGCTCGCTCGGCACTCCATGGTCGTGTTGCAGCAACCCGTTGTGGAATAGCCCTCCCGCAGCAACAGCCATGTTCTGGCTTTGTGTGTGAGAGAGAGAAAACACTAAATTGCGAGAGAGAATATAAACAAACCAAAAAAAATGGAAAAGGAGGGCGAAAGAGGCGAAAAAAAAATCAGGATTTTTCTTTTAAAAAAAAACCCAAAAGGAAGCCCAGCAGTAGCAATGCAATTTCAGGGTAGTTACAGAAAGAGAGAGAAAAGCAGCTTTCTATTGTCCTGGTCCACGCGATTCACTGTCTGGCTGGGAAAACGTCTACAAAACCCTGCAGGCTTGTCGTAAACTTCCCTCCCGGCATGGAGTCAGTGCCTTTTCAACCTTCCCTGCCCTTTCCACCCCCTTCCTCGCCGTGTTTCGCTTCTTCCGCTGTAATTATTGATCACAAAGATTCTCCGCAACAATGTGTATAAGATATAGATTTTTTTTTAAAAAAAGGCGACGGTCCGGAAGTAAAGCTTCTTGTGTTGATTTCATGTAACCAACCGGGGAGTGGGGGGGGGGGGGGGGTCCTGGATATCTCCAATGTGTGCGCGCACACACACACACAATTAATTCCACTTTCCCCGAGGTTACTTGGAGCTCTTCACTGCTCTCCGACTGCTGTTGCTTGCATCCTGCCCAAGTCCGCACACACCATCCAGCTGGCGAAATGCTACACTCACCCTTCCCCCTCCCACCAGCTTCCCTGAGCTGTAACCCCACCTCCAAATAAAGCCACTGCCGCACTTCAGATCCTAACTGCAGAGCTCTGCATCGCTAGGATTGCAGGTCTCAAAAAGTCATCACGAAAAGAAACTTCTCTCTCTTCCCCCCCCCCCCCGGATCTCTCCTTTACTTTTCTTATATATATTAAAAAAGTGGCACTCTCACATGGTAGAATGCAACAAAAACGGTGCAGTTTGAGAACTTTACACGCGCTGCATGATGCACCTTTAAACAAAGTCGCTACCAGTATCCCTCAGGCAACTCCAACACCGGTGGAAGGGGTGGAAACGGTTTTTTTTGGAAAAATGCTGCTAACAGCAGAAATGAATAATATGAAAGAAAGAACTACGGATGCTGGAAATGTGAAACAAAATACAAGTTGGCTGGAGAAACTCAGCAGGTCTTGCAGCATCTGTGGAGATTTTAAAAAAACAGTTGACCTTTCTGGTCCAGTGACCCTTCTTCAGAGAGGAGTTGGTCATGAGAACTACACATAATATAACGTTATTGCTTCTTTGCATCAAGAACTTCATCCGGACAAAACAAAAAGTCCTGATGCAGTCAGGAAATATGAGTGCAATGGTTTCAGGCCATTTTCAGGAATGGGACCAGTTACAAGACATTCCATGACCCACTATCACAGCAATACAGGAAATAGGGGTCCAGGAAGACAAAGGCAGCACAAGTTTGACAAAGTCAAACCGCATATGGTTGCAAAGCTCAGTTGCCAGTGTGTTAAACTGGAGATCTAAAGGTCCCCGATTCAATCCTGGGTTTTGGCAGAATACAGAGATAAGCCAAGAAGTCCCTAGCTCAGAACTGACACCCATGGGGAAAATTTATTCAGCTCCATCTTTACTGTTTGGCTGATAGATGGGAAATTATGCCAATGTGAACACTATGGGCAGCACTCTTGCTCTTATAAGAATCATGGGTAGATATCAGCTCCAGCAGCTTCACCACAGGATCAAATAAGGCAGATCGGGGGCACAGGCCGAACATGATAAATATGGCATCATGGCTATTACAGAAACATGGCTTAAAGGTGGGACATAAATGGCAGCCCAACCTTCCTAGGTGAGGATTTTTGAGACAAAACAAAGAGGGAGATAAAACAGAAGGAGGCAGAGTGTTAGTTTTGGCTAAAGAAACAATTACAGTCGTGGGGAGGGATATGGTAGAAGTATCATCAAATGAATCCATATGCACTGAGCCAAGGAACAAAGATAAAGGGACAACCTCACAGCTGGGAAGGTAATGTAGACTCCTCAAAAGAGAGAGGGAGATTTAAGAGTAAAAGCGTAGGAACATCTGAGATTGCAGTGACAACCGGGGGTTTGAACTGGGTGGGTGGGTTTTGTCAGAGATATAAAGAGTTCACTATACACTTACAAACACAGGGCCAGGTGTGAATACTTAAGTGAGTACTTTGCATTAGTCTGTACCAAGGAAAAGGACGCTAATAAAATATTGGTAGAAGAGACAGTAGAGCTGATGGATGGGGTGAAAATTGAAAAATGAACTAGAATGGCTGACCGTGTTTAGAAAGTGGGTAGGTTGCCTGGTCTAGATGTCTTGCAGCCCAGGTTGTTAAAGGAAGTGGGAATGACAATAACTGAAGGGCTGGCCATAATCTTGGCAAACTTTTCTGGATACAAGATACAACTGGAAAGCAGCAAATGTGAAACGCATATTCAAGGAAGTGTGCAAGGACGTTCCTTGTAACTACAGGCCAAGCAGTTTAACAACGGTTGGTAATGTTTTAGAATCAAATAATCAGAGAAAAACATCCCTTGAAGAGATTGAAGTTAAAGAGAAGCAAGGTTGTGTAAATAGCTAATCATGCTCAACTAATCAAATTGAATGCTTTGATGAAGTAACAAATGGTTATAAAGGGAATATGGCAAGATATTGTTCTGTATGGAATATGTATGACAACGTACCATCTAAAAGCATGACTAACAAAATTGAACCCAAAATAAACTGGAGGAATGACACCTCATTTTCTGTTTGTTGAATTTGGAAGACTGTAAAATTTCTGAAGAGTTCAATAACTTCAGACTATGACAGGTACACCGTGTTGACATGTAACTTGTTTTCATATTTTCCTGTCAGTGCTGTCCTCTGTTCTGCTGTTAATTCCTACTCTGGAGCTATGCTTTGTCCCTTCTCTACAACCCCAAACACTCCCTGTACCTTTTATTCGGTGACATCTTTGATCTCTCTTGCCCTCCAATCTCCTTAGATCCTCCCTCTCTCTACCAATCACATATTCTTACCCCTGTTTCTCACCTACTCCCTCATCTTCCACAATCTCTTCTGAAGGCGGCTAACTGGACCCAAAATCTTAATTCTGCTTTCTCTCCATAGATGCTGCCAGACTTGCCAAGTTTCTCCAGAATGTCTGTTTTTGTTTCAGATTTCCAGCATCTGCAGTTCTTTTCCTTCCTTCCTGGGTTGTCCCTCTGTTCTGCTTGTTCCTCCCCACCTTTATCTGCAGCACAATATTCTTTCTGCCTATTTCGTCACTTCTCAAGTCATATTGAACTCAAAATGTTAACTACATCTCTCTCTTGGAGATGCTGCCAGATTGAAAACAAAGTGCTGGAGAAACTCCAAACAAAAATGACTCTTAGATACAAAAAAACTGGGCTTGATTACTGAATAGTAAGTCAAGGCAAACGTCTGTTCTTATTATACTGTTAGTAGAATAAATGGCAAATGTTACAATTTGCCAATTAAACACGAAGATATGGCAAAGAGGGTGATATACCAATCAAGTTACCAATCAGGACAGATAGGTTTACAGGATGGGTGGATAGAATTTCAAGCAGATTACTGTGGGAAGATGCATTTGCCTGAAGATTAGTGAATTAGATACACGGTACAGTACAAAGACTTCATGGCACAATTCTAAAGTGTGCAGGGATAGATGGGGTTCACGCCTAGATATTTAAGGGAAACAGGCAACATTGAGAGCAATTAGCAAAGCAAATGAGATCCAGGACTTCATAAATAAAAGATACAAGTACAAAATTAGGAAGCCACTGCTGTACCGAGCAGTTTCATGCAACTTTGCCTGCGGCTAGAGTAATTGCATCCACTTCTGGTCACCACACACTTGGAAAAACGTTGTGTCCCTCATAATGTGCAGAGGAGATTTCAAGATTGGTTCCAAGGTTGAGAGATTTTAGCTACAGGTAGTAGATTGGAGAAATTGTGTGTTTTCTCCATGGAACAAAAGGTAGTTTAAGGGAGATTTGATCAGCCTATGACAGGTGTAGACAAGATAGATAAAGAAACAAAAATTATTCCCAGTTAATGGTACAAGGACTGGGTGACAAATATTTAAATGATTTGGGGTAAGAGATGTAGAGACATATGAGAAATGACTTTTGTTTTAAACTGCAATAAGTGAATTGACCTGGGACACACAGCCTTCACTTCCATCTCCTCACAGGCAATGAGTGACTTTAAAAGGAAAATTAGATGAAATTAGATTGAAGAAATAAAATTGTAGTAAAGAGGTAGGGAAATTGGACTAATTGAACAGTTCTACAGGGAGCTGGCATAAATTACTTGGGACAAGTTGACTTTTATTATGTTGTAATGATTCTATGACTCTCAGAAGTCAAAAGGTGGGACCACTGTTCTTTGTTGTTTTTGTAAACAATCTGCATGCAGAAAGTACAATTTCAAAATTAGATGAAAAGTTGCAGGTACAGTTTTCTTCAGTACTGAAAATGACAAAACACAAGACAAGACATTTCTTACAGAACATTATGTGGCAACATTAATTTCAATATTGATAATAATGAACTGGTGCATTTATGCCAGACAAGAAATGAAGCCCAATCCTTCTGGAAAATCAATGTCAAAAATGGGGACAGGGGTGTAAAAAGTCTCTAGAAATACTGATATTAAAAACAACAGTTAATAAGACTTTAAACAAAAATAAAACATTAATTCTTAGATACATATAGTTGAAAAATAAAGTTATGAAGTGATTCAAAACTTTCATTGGATCATTGTCAGGCCACATTATTTTTGTAAAATGGAGACAAAACGTATGGAACTGTTGAGGAAGGTGCAAAAGTGATTTTAAAAAAAAGGTTGATTACAAAGAGATGAAATCCATGAAGAACAGATCAGAGTTTGTCTGGCAGGGGAGATGTGGTTTGGGTGGTGTGTTGGGGGGAGGGGGGTGGTTTTGAGGAGGCATCGGTGGTATTTTTGGGAGGGGGCACAGCCCAAATCAGATCCGCTAATGGGGGAGATAAAAAGAAGTGTCACCAATAAATTCAACAATGAATTAAGGAAAACATTTTTAACCCCAAGTGTAGTTAGAATCTAGCAAACTCACTACGTCAAACAGTTTTGGCAATTAGTATAGTTGTACAGCACAGTTGCATTTAAGGGGAAATTAGTTGATCACATGGGTGAAGTAAATAGATGGATATCTTGATGGAATTTGAACACAAGTTTTTTTTTGAAAAGCTGATGTTGTAGTTTTTCCTGATGTATGCATCTGCTGGTACACGTATATCTAGTGTTAGAGAGGGAAGCATTTTACAGTCCCCATCACCAAGTTCAGGGGTCCTGTAAACCTCCACCGATACTCTCCTGCCACCCCAGAAGTTGGCTACTTCAGCATCTCCAACTGACGTGGGCAGGTCTGTCACTCCAGGCCTTACCTACTCTGCATAAAATTGTGGACGGGTTGAGGGTGGCAGGAGAGTATCGGTGGAGGTTTACAGGACCCCTGAACTTGGTGATGGGGACTGTAAAATGCTTCCCTCTCTAACACTAGATATACGTGTACCAGCAGATGCATACATCAGGAAAAACTACAACATCAACTTAAAATCCAGCAGTGGCTCAATGGTTAGCCCTGCTGCCTCTCGGTGCCAGGGGTGCAGGTTCAATTCCAATC